GCATTTCAACAATTCAGGGGTGTACCAACTGAGATCAGCCAGTTGGTTAGTACTGGAATTTCTTTTCTTTTCTTTTTTTTTTCTTTTTTTTTTTCTTTTCTTTTTTTTAAAACAAAACAGGGCCTTATGGTCCTGGCTCCTTCCATTCTCGGGAGCGTCAGTCCGGTTCCTATTCCACCGGCAAGTCAAAATATACATTACATCAGGAACACTCACACACGCTTCCTTCCGTCAGGCCAAAGGATCCATGAACAGCATTGATTGCTCCACCGCGGTGGAGGATTGACTGTCAGCTAGCCCTATCCCTCTCTTTCCTCTCACACCTGGAGTCCAGGTCTGCCAGATAGCGCCATTGTCCCTAGAAAGAGCTCATCCGTTATCTTTGCCGACCTGTTTCCTCCCCACACACCTCCCTGCCCCTTTTGGAAGATCTCCGATAAAACCCTAAACCCTAAACCTCTCGCCTGTGCGCCCAACCTCCAATAGTCGATCTTGGACATTGGCAGGCATTGATTTGCTTCAGGCCCCCTGCGATAAAGCCTTCCTTTGTAACCCGCGTTCATGCTCCCGTATTTTCACCTACTCTAACTTGTCCTTCTCTCTCCCATGTTTCCTCTTTGTTCGTACCCCCTGGGCCCCTGAGGGGCCGCTTACATTCGATTGAGGCCTAGGATGCGAATATGCCCTCAGACGTTGCCTGCTGGTGAAAGCCTCTTTCTGGTACTGAATTGTGCCACTCCTTCCAGCATACCCGGTCCTCTCGCAATTCTGCAATCTTGCCATTTATCAGCCAATTCCTGTAGAATCTCTGCCTCTCCTTCTTACGCTGCTCTTCGTCTTTTGTCCAAGCTTGTTTGGTCTTCCGCCATCTGCAGAGGATCTCAGCTTGTATCAATGTTCTGGTTTCTAACCACACCTTCTCCCGTGGGTTAGACCRCCCCTCAATTGTCCTGCTGCATCTCTCTTTCCATATGACCCATAGGGTCACTTTCCTGATGAGTTCAAACCAGATCCTTTCTGCCTTTTGCGCCTGATCAGGGATGTTAGTCAAGAGGAGAAGTTGAATGGGTTGCTCGGGGAAGGGAGATGTGAAGAGGGAGTCCCAGAGTGATGAAGCTCTCRCCCAGTATTCAGTAGCCTCTTTACAAAGCACTAGGCAGTGAACTATATCTTCTACAGCGCCTTCGGTGCAGACTGTACATAACTCCGAGCTGTTGGGGTCTGCGGCTTTCCGCCTAGTGTGTAGCSATTGGTTCACCGGTAGGGCTGCGTACGCAATCAGCCACTGCAAACTTCTAATCTTGATTGGTCTGATGCGTTTGAATTTTTCCCAGTGGATTCGTGTGATTTTGTCTGCTTCCTGCCCGACGAGGTTCCGCCATCTGTTTTTGATAATAGGGTCYGGATTTTTGGTCTTTAGAGAYAGTCTGTRCCCAAGTTTGACTGTGTAATCCTGGATTGRAATTTTGGTCTTAATGTTGCTGGCCCTATTTGGTGTCCACGCCCATTCCGCTGGATCGAACTCCAAGCTACGGATTGTAGTGTCAGGTCTGAAGACTGACTTTGGCCATGCCCCTAGGACCCTTACTTTCCGGAGCAGGAAGGATTCTAAGACTGACGACTCTACATCGCAGTTCAAGATAGTTGGCGTACCAGTATTGGTGAGGGAAATCGGGAAAGAGAGGAAAGTGGCCCTAGTGTGTGAGCCTTGCTGCAAATGGGAGAATTGAAAGGCTCTAGAGGGGGTTACGCCTTGAATCATAAGTCCCCACTCACCCGGTCTCCACGATTCGTCTTTTACCAGGATATCTTTCCATTCCTGCGGGATACAGCTAAGTATATACTGGAGATTGGTCCCTCGTCTGTGGCATCCTTTCAGTCGGGAGCTGACTTCTTGTTCCGTTATCCAGCCCTTTCTATCCTCCTTCCATAAGTGGTCAACTTTCCAGATACCGTACTTGATCCAGGGCAACCACCTCTGTTCTAGGAAGAGTGGGTTGTCCGCCTCGTTTGTTATCCATTCATTCCCGAAGAGCGGTTGCCTTAGTACTTCATCCTTGGATTTGGGTCTGTTTATCTTATTGGGAAATATTTTCCTCCAGGATCGGAGTAGTGCCGGCCAGTAAGGCATGGGCGGTCGACAGTCATCGAGTCTGTTATTCCTCGTTTGATTCCTACGTCCTGTGGTTATCACCCATTCTTTATTCATTACCCAAAACAGACCTGACATATTGTTCGGGGAGGGAACTGGGGCCACGGATCTGATACTATCCAGCGCCAGATTATTCCAGGCGCTGTCCGGCTTCATCAGCAGTTTGATGATCCATTTGACTTGCAGGGCTTTCGTTTCTGTTCCGGGGTCAATAATTCCTAGGCCTCCGTCTCGTGGCCTTCTTGTAACATAGTGCCAGGCGATCTTAGATATGCCCTTGTCCTTGTTGGGGTCTCCTGTCCATAGATAAAGCCTAGCTCTTCGGTTCAGCTCCTTAACCGAGCTGTCCGGGACTGTCCAAATGGAGGCTATGTACCACATCATTGACCATGTATTGAGGACTAGCTCTCGACCAATAAGGGACGTGAAGGCATTGCCCCACCTTCCGATTTCATTGATCTGTTTGGCCAGCATGGATGGGCCCATTTGGGGAGCCAGTCCTTCCTTCGTCATTAGTATGCCCAGATAGCGGGTGGGTGTGTCCGGCGTTTGCGATGTCATAGCCGCCTCGTCGCCTTGGAGTGAAAGGGGCTCTTCCTCGGATAGGCACCAGCCAATTGTTTTTCCCCAGTTGATCTTCATTTCTGAGGCTAGTCTGAACGCTTCCATTGCTTTAGCCTTTTCTTTTCTTTTCTTTTCTTTTCTTTTCTTTTCTGAACACCGAACAGCAAATTGACTCTCATGGGCGGGCACATGGGGGCAGCACGGCAGTGTGTGTAACATTCATGACATGTGGGATGATGTGGGTGCATGCATGAATAATACACATGGGGGCACGGCAGTGTGTCATGGCATGTGTGTGCATGGGCACATGGGGCCACTACGGAGGTGATCGGAGTGAGGGCAGTTGCAGCTTTTTGCCTTTCCAAAATTTTATCAGGTTTGCAACTTTGCGCATGGTTTTTCTTTTTTTTTTCAAAAGAGACTGAGCTCATTTGATTATACACACCAAATGAGAGGCCGGGAATTCTCAACCAACAACCTGGGAAGGGAAAAAAAAAAAAAAAAAAAAAAAGTTGCTGGGACCATTACCCAGCTTGGGAGCAGGCGACTGGGTGACAAATCCAGAGACAGAAACGGCCAAAACCAGAGCGCTGTCCTGATAATGACCAACCCGGAGAAATAAGACAACTTCGACAGACCAGAAAAGCCACTCAACGCACAAACCTTACACATGTGTTTTATCAACTTTTATGTTCGGCGTCTGCATCGAAAATTTGAAAGAATTGATATAGTAATCAGCCAAAGAATGTATAAGAGAAAAAATCTCCGTAAATTTCGGCGTAAAATAAGTTCAGCTGGTTTTTTTTTTTTTTTTTTTTTTTTTTTTTTTTTTTTTTTTTTTTTTTTTTTTTTTTTGTCTACGATACTTCTCCAAACCGGTATTTCTGTAATTTGCCCATCCCTCTTCGACAAGCAAACCACAACCAGGGAGCCAGAGGGCTCAAATCTACAGAAAACACACTGTTACAAAGCCATGCAGAAGCAAATAACTAGTAGGCTATGCAAATTCAAAATAGTTTCTGTCACTTTATGACAATTACAATTGTGATAGTTTAATTAACTTTGAATATCCATTGTGAGTACCAACTAACTACAAAGTATTGAGTCTTCATATGGCTTTCTATCCTCGATCCATCAGGTCATGGCTTACGGCTTTGCCAACGAGGTGCCTACCGGCTTCGTACGCAGGCACGTTGCCTCAACTCCACAACAACCTGGCTTACGCCTCTGCGTCTGCTGCTGGTATAGCCTACCTCAGTCACCTACACCCTCGACCTGCGGATATAACATGGCTTACGCCTCTGCGTCTACTGCTGGTATAGCCTACCTCAGTCGCCTACACCCTCGACCTGCGGA